CTAAACTGAGCAAGTTACTAGTGGAGATCTGCGGGGTGACTTGGTCGTACCAACATCCTCCCCCCGGTGACGTCTTCAAACGTCACCCTCATTCAGAACGTCCAGCACACAGATCTTTGACACCGGCCTGCGGTATGTCCCGGACGCTGTCTTGACGTCGGCCACTCTGACATGTCCATCGGTGCCGGGATAGACGGCCGTAATGGTACCTTTCGGCCAGCTGCCTCTGGGTAGGTCTCTGTCGGCAATCACGACTATGTCATTGACCTTGACTTCTTTCTGCTGTCGCTGATGCCACTTCGTCCTTCTCGTCAACGTCGGCAGGTATTCACGCAGCCACCTCCTCCTTTTCCCAGCACGAAAGCGACCTGGGCACTCCCGTCGGCGAAGGTGACTCTGAGGTAGGCTGCAGCCGCAAAGGCCGACTCGCTGGCGTCTCCAAAGACGTGTAGTTGAACTTGGGCTCTCTTGGTCATATCTTCACTGTAGGGGCGTGGCACAGACAGCTCGCTCAGCTTGAGTAGCATTTGCCACCACTCTTTCCAGCGTGTCACGAGGTCATCCGGCAGCGGCTGGTCCCAGCTGACTCCGGTGCGCCATGTCCGCTGGAGAAGTACCTTTGCCGATACCGTGTGAAACGCCAGGTAGCCAAGCGGATCAAATACTGACATGCACATGCGTAGCACATGTCGCTTTGTCGGCTGCGTCACTTCTGCTTCTTGTGTCACCAGTCGTGCACTTAGCTTGAAGCTGAAGATGTCCTCCCGCAGCATCCATTTGAGGCCAAGGGTCTTCTCGGTCGGGGTGTCCGCTTCACCGCTGTCGATCGTGAGAGCGCTGTCGGACCTGAGCTCGGGTGGCACGCTTGCTAGGACCTCTGACGAGTTGCTTACCCAGCTACGAATGGTGAACCCGCCGGCTTTGTGGATCTTGACGACTTGAAGCGCTCTGGCGACAGCTGTCTCCACGGTTGGCGTTGAATCGAAGTAGTCGTCCATGTAGTGCTTGCGGTTGATTGCGTAGACAGCTTCTTCGTGGTTGTCCCTGAACTCCTCAGCATTCCTCCGCATCACGAACTGGGCCGAGGCAGGCGAGCATACCGCTCCGAACGTCATCGCCTTCCTTTGGTACGCGTCCAGCTCTCTATCACGTTTCATGCCTCGCCAAAGGAAGCGTTGGGATGGTTGATCTTCTTCCCGAATCTGAACCTGGTGGAACATCTGCTGTATATCGCCGCCGAAGGCAATACGGTGCTCCCTGAACTTGAATAGAACGCCGGTGAGAGAATTCAGGAGATCCGGACCCGGAACCAGGGCGTCGTTTAGGCTCATGCCGTTGCTTGAGGCTGCCGCGTCGAAGACTAGTCGCAGCTTCCCTGGTTTGTTCGGGTTCGTGACACCAAAGTGCGGCTGGTACCACTTGCGCTCGTGGAATGCTGTCTCCTCTTCTGGTGTCAGCTTGAAGGCATAACCGGCAGCCAGGTACTGTTCGATCTTACTGCAGTACGCGTCAGCGAAGACTTGATCCCTGTCCATCTTTCGCTCGATGGAGAACAGCCGCCGGAGGGCCATGGGCTTGCTCTCTGGTAGGAGTATGCCACTTTCTCTCCACAGGAGTCCGGTTTCCCAGCGGTCTCCGACTCGTCTGGTGGTCGATTTCATGATCCTCTCAGCTCGCGCTTCCTGTCGGGACCGGATCTTAGTGCTGGTGACCTTGACACCAAACGAGCCTGTGGTGAAGAAAGACTTGACGAGCAGATGTAGGTCGTCATCGAAGCAGCCATCTTTGATTTGCGCTGACAGGCTGCTGTGGGCGTTTTCGGTGCTGAGGTCATCGACTCTGCCGTGGATTGCCCAGCCTAGCTTGCACCGCGTGGCTACCGGCGATCTGGGCGGTCCCTCGACCCACTCTCGGGGCATGATCAGGTCACAATTGTCCTGCCCGATGAGCATTCTGGGCTTCTGCATATCCTCCACTGTCAGATCAGCGTCTCGGAGGTGTTTCCAGTGCTGGCAGGTGCTGTTGACGTCGAGGTCTTGCTTGGGTAGATCCAATGTAACGGTTCGTATATCGTTCAGGTAGAACTCCTGCCCGCTTCCGAACACCGAAACCTCCACCTTCCTGGAGTTGTTGTCAGTCTGGCTGGTGTCGTCCGTCCAGGTCAGTGTCAGCGGGCAGTGCGTCCCCTTGGCACCGATCTCCTTGGCTAGGCTAGCGTCAAGCAACGTGACTGTAGATGCTTCGTCGAGCAGAGCGAACGTGTGGACCGTCCCCTTCGTGCCTGTGACGTTGATGGGTACTGTGCGCAGCATCACCCTCCCACTGTTAGGTCGTCGAGTTGCGTTGCACGGCGCTGGCTGGTCCCCCGTCCTCTCCTGCGTGCTCGGTTGCGGCAGATGGAGGAGTCGGTAGTGTAGCCTTTCGCACCCGTCACGTCCGCACCGTGCTTTCTTCGGGCAGTCCCTGACTTGGTGTCCACAGCCAAAACAGACGAAGCAGCGGTTCTCATTCTTGATCCACTTCCACCTGTCCTTGACTAGGGCCTTCTTCAAGGTGTTGCAGTTGGCAGCGGAGTGCCCGGCTTTCTCGCAGAAACCACATTGTTCTTCTCGTGCGGTGAAGGTGTTCCCACGGAGGCCGCCTGGTCGCCTGCCAGATGGCGGCTTTTCAGCTCTGTCAGTGGCGGTGAGTCTTCTGACGTGGCTGATAGCGTCCGCTCGTTGTGATAGCCATTCGGAGAGTGTTGCCAGGGTCACTCCGGTCTGTTGGGTATGGACGAACTCCCCCCATTGCCGCTTCAGGCTGTTGGGAAGTTTCATGATCACTTCCTGCCGCAGGGTGGGATTTGTGAGATGTCCGGTATCGTTCATGAGCTGCATTGTTGCGACGAGGTTGCCGACCGCATTTGCCGTGTTGATGAGGGCCTCGAAGTCCTCTTCTCCAGCTGGCTTCAGTTTCTTGACGCCGTCAATTATGGTCTGTATCACCTGCTCTGGCTGCCCGAACCGCATTTCCAGAGTCTGCATGACACGATCGACGTTATCAGGTACGATGAGCATGGCTTTGACGGTGTCCTTAGCCTTCCCTTTGAGGGCTTTCTGTAGCCTGGCCATATTCTCCGCATTGGAGAATTTGCATTCACTCGTCGATGACGTGAACATATGGCGGAACATCGGCCAGGACGCCGGGTCGCCGTTAAACTCTGGGAGGTCCTTTGCGGTGGACTGTCGGGCGACTATCTTGTGAAGGTCGCTGCCAGTATCTTGGGAGCCATGTCTCTGCGTGGCTGTCGTCAGGTGTCCGGCCAAGGCTTCCGCAAGCTGGCTGACAGCTGTCACTACTGAAGTCTGAGCGGCCTGGGCCGGGGTGTGCTCTTCATCTGTGATTGGCTGGTCCCTAGCGCGTGCTGCAGGCGGCAGGCGTTCTGTCGGCTCAGCCTTGTCGCCAAGGGACTCCACATCCTCAGTATCTTTCGGGACGGGTTGGTGGTACTCAGCTGGAGTCCGGCGGTGGTATGACGATGACTTGTCCACAGACCTCGCTCCCCTGAGTTCTGCAGGTCGAGGCTCGTACTCGTGGACGGCGTGGAATCGAGCATCGTTACCAGGACTACCCGTGTCAGTCACGGTATCACGTCTCTGTTCGACTGCCCGGTCTGCAGGGCTACCTCGCGCTGCGCATTCCTCTAGGAACAGCTGGCGCCACTGGTCAGCTTTCCTTTGCTGCTGCTCCGCAGATTGCCTGGCTTGACTCAGGAGCTCACGTAGGTGATCCTTGTCACCCTCCGCGCGCGCAGCCTGCTCCTCGATCTCCTGGAGTTCTTCGCGTGACCGCTGTCTCTGGCAGGCCATCGCCTCGAACTCTACCTTGCGCTGCTCCGATACGCGCTTCATCTTGTCGAGTTCAGCCCGCAGTTCGGTGTTGCAATCATACAGGTCGCTGTTCTCAGCTTGAGCTGTGCTCTTCAACCGGTGGAGGTCTAGCTCGCGACGTGTTCGCCGCAATTCAGACTGAAGGTGTTGCACGACAAGATCCTTCTCATGACTTTCGTCAGCGGACTGTTGTAAACTTTGCTGCAGGCAATCAATCATCCGGTGTGCGTGACTGAGTGCGTCTTCGTTGGCCTGTGACTGTGCATTGTGTGCGGTTACAGCTGACTGCTCAGGGAGATTCACAGGTTCAGGACTACCCTGCAGTGCTTGGAGCGGTGATGGCGCTAAAGCTAGCGGTGTGGCATCTGCGCGTTCTGCCATGCTGTACGGAATGTGTGAAGAGGCACTAGTACCTTGCTCTACCTGCTCCGTGCGCTGTGTACCGGTACTTACTGAGTCTGACACTAAAATTGAGTTTTTGCCAACTCCTTGAAGTCGCTCTACTGTCCTACCGCTTGTAGAACGGGACTTGACTGTACGTGGGTCGCAGACACTATCTGCACTCAGGTCTATCAAGTCCGGGTCACTAGTTTGCCCTGACTGTACGGATTTAGCAGGATACAACACGCTCACCTCATCGCTGCCATTTGCAGCTGTGGGCGCTTGCATTTCAGATCGTCGCTCTTCCTCGAACACTTCCTCTCTCATCGCGGGCGATGAAGACTTCGGTGTGCCAGAGCGTCTGGACGCCCTCTCGAGATTCAAGCTGGCCAGGTCAGCCTCCGCCTCTGCGACCCTCTTTCTCGCTTCTAGCAGGGCGCACCTTGCTTCCATCACTGATGGCGCACTTCCTGACGTGCGGCTTGATGCGAGCGACGGTGTCTGCCTGTTGAAGCTGGTTCTTGGACTGGTCGCACTCTCTTCGTCCTCAAACCCCAGTCGCCTGGGAGCAACTCCCTTGGTTGAACGAGCACTCGTTCTTTGTTCCTCCGCCATTCGCGATCCGGCTCGAAGGACCAATGTTTGCGCCGGTATTCTCACTCACAACACAGAGTCTGAGGTTTATAGAATATTATCACTAGGAGAAGACTGTATCCATTGCAAACTGATTGCAATACTTCAGAAAGGCTAGCTACTACCTGGTAGTAACAGAAACAGCCAAAGACAAAGAACCCAACAACTGCACCAGCAAGCTCTTTCCTTGCACTAACCCCAAACACATCAAAATCAAGCAGCAAAATGCAAATCCGCACGCGTGTTTGCCGGAACTGAACTTCCGTAGCGCAGCTGATCATTGCGGCTGCACGGGACGACCTTCCCGCCACAGTAGGGCAAAGAACTATGCTGCAGTATGCATGGAACTAGCAAAGAATGCATGCAGCACACCAGCATGCTGTCCCTACGCAGACGTCTAGTCTAGCGTGAATTCATGAGAAACATGAGGTGTAATATGAAAGGCAATGCAGCAGTTATGAATAGGGACATCAACAGGACACAACACACAGTAGTCATGAGCAGGCTGAGGTAACCATGGTAACTGAGGGCCGGGGAACAGTACAGACATGTGCGCAACAGCACCTAGGTTTACTACTACCCAAGGTTATTCATGTCTTGGTCTAAACTGAGCAAGTTACTAGTGGAGATCTGCGGGGTGACTTGGTCGTACCAACAGTTGTCATTTCTCGATGGAACACGGATTGATCCAAGAGACAATTTCGGAAATCATCATGTGTGATAGTTTTCTTGAGCACTGCTTTTTTCACCCCCTTTGCTCTTTTTCCACTTTCCTCACCAGAGTAACTGTACATCTTGGAACGAAGTCCTACAAACTCAGTGATCAGTTTTCCACCGAGTTCATCTTTGAACAGGCCAACAACTTTCTTGTTTTTCTCGGAATATAACGGATGTGATTGATCATAATTGCTTGTATCATACTTCTCAAGAAACTCACTCATGTCATGAAACAGATCATCAGTAAAGAAATGAAGAACCAAGCTGTCTGTATCGGTGTACAAGAGTCTCACATCAGAGCCATACATCACTTTCAGGTGATTGTAGTAAAAGTCATACATGAGTGTCTTTGAGAGATCCAAAATCGACATCCCAACATATATGGGCTTGTTGAGGACGACCTTTGTCCTGTTACTTTGTACCCCGATCAGGTCATCGTTGAAGATCACATGGCGGTTGTACGTTGGTTTGGCAACAAGCTGTTTGATTTTCTTCTCCTCACGACTTCTCAGCAATTTTATGTTGACTCTCCTCCGAACGTTCTCCATAGTTTTCCCGAACACCGCATTGTTCATCAGTTTATAGAAGTCCTTAGAGAAATCATCCTTTGCCTTCTTCCGGAGGTCTGTATTCTTCTCGATGTAGTTTCTCATCCACGGTGTCTGAGTAAATTTCAGAGCACGATGAATTTTGACACAACGTAGTCCGAGCTGAGTGTAGAGTTTCAAGTTTCGGTAATGGAGAACGTACTTTGTCTTGCCCCTCAAGTTTGGTACAAGTTTGAGAGCATCTACTCCGGAAGAATTGAGTTTATCAACAAGCTCCTGCTGGTATGGAGATAGCATGTCCTCATTGACGGAAAGACATTCCGGAGCAACTGGATAATCGTTGTGCTTCTCATGAAGTTCGTGTGGATATTCCAGATCACACTCGACGATATACCCCGATGAGGAATCATCTTGAGTATTCAGTATCTTGTTCAGGAGTTTCTCTGATGGTTTCTCCCTCCGAAAATCAGACACTGGGAGATGCTGTGACATTGCCCAACCATAGAGATTGTTGGCATCGAGATACTGGATAAATGACGATGGCTGATCAGCATCAAATTTCTCCTGATAGTGATTATTAGCAGCAGCATATCGTTGTGAGACCATCGACACACCACCTCTCATTCCTGATTCTACAAACAAGTGCTGATCATAGTCTGTTAGTAATTCCAAGGACACACCTGAGTACATCAACAGAGCATCCCAGGCGGCAAATCCAGGCAGAGTGTAGTAATTTGCTGGATCCAGCTGATACGTTCTGACAGCTTCTACTCTGAAATTCTCAAAGATGTCAGCCAAGAGAAACACGTCGGTCTTGAGATACAAGTCGTGATAATCACCAAGAGTCTGACAGTCGAATTTCATCCACATTGTCTCAGCATGTTTGTAGTCATCGTCACTCACCCCCTCATCAGACAGTGAAGAATACTTGGTCCGCCCAGTTAAAATTGGCGCTTATCTTCACACTTGTCTCAGGAAAGAAATACGAATATTTGAAGCAAGCAACGATCACAAAGCACTATATATTATACATGATAATTTACATGTCAGTAAGCAACTCAGTCGAAAATTCAAGCAAGTTACACATCCTCCTCGCCACTATCGTCGCTGGAGGAAGAGCTCAAAACGTACCATCTGGACAGCTGCTGCACGGGTCGTTTCATAGCTTGTTCCACTTCTCCTCGTCTCGAATCAGGGTCAAAGGCAGTGCGGGCCTGTCACCTTCCCATGAGAAGCTGAGTGAGACTGCCCGCATGTTGACTGTAAGTGTTATCCCCGTTCGTCGCAATAATGTGTCTTTGTTTGAGATGAAAAGGCCACGCCATATCAGTGTCCTTTTTTCTAATCCCCTCTTGCGCTTGTCGTACTTGCTGATCAGCACCCGTAGATCTACGCACGCGAGCCGCTGGTGCTTGAAGATCTACATGCAGCGCAGTGATAGCTTCCGCTTGATATAGCACCTGTGCGTACTGCACCTACAACGCCGTGCACCAGGCTTTTCGGCTAGTTTCCTGAAAGTCCGTTGCACGAGTGTTTCCCTCAGGACTTGGTTTTTTCTTTGATTAGCTCCTTTGCCCTGTCCTCTGTGAGCTTCAAAGTGTGTTCGCCGGATTGGTCTCACTTACTGGAGATATCGACATGAGCTGCAGTTTCTTCGTCAGCGATGTGCTGGTGATAGCCCTTCACAAGGCGCTGTACTGCGCAAGCACTGAAATTCAAGCTCGCGAAGCGCTTTTTCAGCTTTTCTATACCTTCCCGGGGTAAACAATCCTTGCCATCAGACAGCTGGAAGTAGACAGAAACTGTCTTCTCCATCGCTCTGAAATGTGAACATCCTGACCTATTTTACGGACTCGAGCGGAGGTTGCAGTGTTTTCTTGCGCTGACGGAAGTGTTAGTCGGCGGCAGCTCCGTCAAAAAAACTCAAACGAACCGATCGCAACTTCTGCGATTGTTTGTGGTGCCATGTCGTCGGATGCAATGGTCAATGGTTATGTTCGGATGGTGAATCGGTGGTTCCATGCCGTGTGGCAAAGGCAGAACACCAAAAACCCAAGTGAGAAGATGAGCGCCAATTTTAACTTGGCGGACCAAGTAGAACTTACTCTGTGCTGGTAGCTGAGTCTCATCGAACCTGGAGAAGCTGTTCATGTACTCATAGGGGTATACTCCTTTCCTCATCAACAGCTGATGGTTTGGCAACGTCTTGGTGTGAGTGAATGACTCATCTGGTGTCGTTTTCACCAGGCTATCGAGTGACGCATTGAGAAACTGGCAGCTGTCGATGAACCGGAACTGTCTCCATGTGAATGAGATGAATTTCTCCATGTTGTTGGGAATGACTGATATCTCACCCACAGTTTTACTCTTACACACACCATCCTTATCCGTGTATGTGACGGTCTCAACATCTGTCTTGCCGATTGCTCCGATGAGATGATGACTGTCATAGCCTTTCAGGTTGTGAAAAACCACAGGGATGTGCTGCTTGTATGGATAAATTCTGAGTTTGATGTTACAGTCATTGTGTGCGACACCGCGGAAATCACCAGTGATGTGGTCGTGATCACGGACTCTGTCCTCACCAAGTTTCTTTTTACAAATCCAACAGTCTTCTGTCTCTCTGAACAATTCTTCTTGTTCCTTAGTGAGATCCATCGGTGCTGGATTATTGAGTGCTGATTGGATTTTCTTCTCCTCATCTTTGAGTTTCTCAAAGAATACATCCATGGCATCAGCACCCCGGTAGAAACACTGACTTGTCATCACTCCGTCAGAACGTACCACGACATAACCAAAACCACAAGGAACATGTTGTGAATCCCGGCTGGTTTGTTGGCTTTTCACTCCATCAATTTTCTTGATCAGTGCCTCAGTGTCAGCATAGATGGCATAGGGACATTGTAGCATTTTGTGATGATTAATGAACCTTAGTGTTGGTAGATTTCCATCGTCATCCGGTTCTGGTAGTACCATGTGTGCTGATAATCCAGTGACATTATCACAATACTCCTGATGATTGCTCAGGGATTTCTCTGTGTTGTGTGGTTGGAGACATCTTGTACAGAAGAATTTCCTGGCTTTATGCTTTGACTGATCGTAGCACAATCTGCTGAAATCTTTGATCCAACAGTAGTGATTCTGATCTTCTTTGTGGTATAGTAGAAGATTGATCACTTTCTCACCTCTTTTCTTTGTCAGCAGTAGTGGATAGATCACGTTATCCTCATACCCAAAAACATTGATAGCTAGGCTGTTTTGCTTCTCGACTTTGGAAATTTGACTCAGTGGTGTTGGAAAATCGATTCCGAACAGATCAAGTTTGTTGCTATAGTCTGTATACTGAGTTACCTGGTCACCATTTTTCTTTGCTGGATACAGAGCTGAGAGCAGTGCCCACATCAGACATTTATCATCCTTATTCTTGACATTGATGATTGCCTTCTTTTTCTTGAGCTCGTTCGGTAAATCAATGTAGGATTTACCTCTCATTGGCTGATATGCTGCTACATCAACATAAAATCTGGTGATGTGATTGATGTGCCAGTTTGATCCATTCTGTATCCACTTATCGATATTTGTATGCATTTGTGTGTGTGCCGTTTGAATACCGTTATCAATCTCATGAGATGTTGTGACTGTCATTGGTCCACTCCTGAAGTATGGTGTGTCTGTGGTTGTTATGTCATCTCCTTTCTCCATTTCTACTTGTAATGTCAGACTGACTTTCACACCCTTGAGATTTTCCAGTTCTTTCTGTATCAATGTTCTCAGTGGGATGTTGATACTATCAAAGAATATATACAGATCTGGATGATTCTCTTTCGGTTCATAGATGAACGATTTCAGAATCCCTTTGGGTACTGACTTTGAGACTGTGAACGGTGGTGTGACAATCGGTTTCCTCTTCCGATTCTCCCGATTCTTCCGATTCTCCCGATTCTTCCGAATTCGTTTCTTGAGAAGTTCCCGATTCTTTCTTTGCTCTAATTTTTTGTGAATCCACTGGAGTTGTTTCTCAGTCTTGAGTTTCTTCCCATCATAGTTGATAGTGAGTTTGCTCAGGTCAAATTCCATCTTTACACTACACAAAGATTTTTTCGATCAGTGATAGCATTACTGTATTATCACAACCCTCTAATGTACATTAATCTACATCCTAGAAAGAAAGAAAAAAAGAACGGGGTGTCCAAACCTAGATTCGAATCCACGATCTTGTGATTGGAGACACAGTCATCATCAGCTGACGTCACTGTGAGATTTGACCTTTCTCGGAGTTTTTCAGTTTCCGAGTCTGAGCTTTTTCAGAGCGGACCGTATGCGTGTTAAAACAAAATGGCGTCACGATTTATTGAAAGTGGTATAGTTGGTGGTACGAGTGTTCAAAACCATTTGAACTAATACTGTTCGTCTTCTTTTTGACATGCTCTCTTTCCATCGTCCTTAGCTTTTGTTTGTTGAGAGCTGTTTTGGCTTTCCCCTATACCTCTGGGGGATGCCAAGTGATGGTTTTGAGAGGCTGGTGATGGCTGTGAGCGAGAGTTTGTCGATCGGCGTCGTCCTCGCTATAGCGATGAAAATACTAGTTACTGCGCACCTGGCAGATATCACAACACGTCGGAGCGTCCAGGAGCAAAGGAATCTTGGGTTTTCACTGGAATCTAGTTCCTCCAGCATCGTGTAGCCCACCGTCGGTGAATGGCGGTCCAGAAAGGTCGAACCTGGTCTTCTGCAGCATCTTGCAGTCCTGCGAGGCACACTGAATACGCCTGTCATGTATTCTACAAATAAAAATCACGAAGTAGTGGACTTTACAGTGATGAGTCTATCCTGTATGCTGCAAAAGACGCAGGAAATGTGACTGGTGTCCGTACACTGGACGCCAATATCATCCCAGTCTTCTCCTGCAGGATCTGTTTGACATTGACATACCGGTATGCAGTGGGTCGACATTGGCCTGGTTTGGCAGCTATCTGCCTGGTTGGATGTAGCAGGTTTGCATTGGCGCGTCGTCCAGTCCGACATTTTCTTGTAACTGTGGAGTACCGGCAGGGTTTGAGAGGTTGCTCGTGCTGTGAACACATCTCTACTGCCTGTCTCGTCCTGGAAGTGCCGTCTCGCCGCTTCCTTGCTCTACAGTCACGCCGTTATTTCGCTTTGTTTCGTGGTGCAGCTCAAAACCTGCCCAAACAACTGTGAGCTCGCAACATGGTATGGACAAATTGCACCACTCATGCTGGTTAACTAAAACCGGGATAGTCGAGTAAGCGAGTTCACTCCCTGGGCCATGGCAAGACCTGTTCAGCGCGGGCTATTCCAACCTCCAAGTGCATAGTCACCGATCGATCCATGCGATGGTGGTTGACGTACAAAGAGCCAAGGCCTACAAGTACTACTATTGGATGCTGTCTACATGCAGTCAACAAAATCAAAGTACCTCAGTATGCCCCAGAACAGGGCATGTGCATCTATAGCATGACACAACAGGGGTTCTGGCGGCACTTGTCAAACAAGTAGTAGCGACTAGTGCCAGCTACCTATTGGAGGCTAGCCGCTACAGTCTGTCACTGGAGATAATTATTATGTTCACTGTTTAGACTGAGCACAATCAATGATGCCCAATCAATCTGCCCAATGTGTGTTCTGTTCCACCTAATTATAACGTCCCATCGCATCAACCCTACTACACGCTCATGTCGTCACTCTAGCACGACTTGTGTTATTATTGTTTATTTTGATTCGCATGATAAATGGAGCACAATAAACGTTAACTTGACCGAAGGTTAAAGGCGACTGCAGATAGAGGAACACATCGAGGTACAGGTACCGGCATCAATACAGTATCAGAGAGAAACAAACAAAAATGAGAG